TTCCAGTGGTTGTCCCTTCAAGCTCGTTGCCAGATATACAGCTTTCTGCTCCTCTGTCCATCCATTCATCTCTGCCAGTAGCTCAAACTGTGCTCTATATGCTTCCCACGGTGCTTTCCCATCATATTCCTGTGGCTTCCTTCGCACTGGATCACTCCTATTACTAACATTCATATATGGGATGTGACTTCTAACAGGGCTGAAGACGTTTGCATTAGGGTTCAGCTGCAAAGTCTGGAAGGGGCTTGTCATTGTCTGGGGCTGGTTAAGTCGATGGTTAATGTATCCTCCTTGTGTAATAGACAATAAATCGTCCTTTAACGTATCTAATTCGCTTTTAAATTTACTAATGTTTTCCGTTTGTACTTCTTGCCACTGTTGTTGACTTTCCTGTAGTTGTTGCTGACTTTCTTCCTGTTTCCTTTCTTGTTCCAGTTGCCACTGCTGTAATTTTTCTTCTTGTTTCTTTTCTTTTTCCTCCAACGACTGCTGTAATCTCTCTTCTTGTTTATTTTCTTTCTCCTCCAACAACTGCTGTAGTCTCTCTTGTTTATTTTGCTGTTCAAGCTGCCATTGTTGTAGGTTTTCTTGCCACTTCTGTAAATTTTCTTCTTGTTTCTTTTCTCGTTCTTCTTGTTTCTTTTCTTTTTCCTCCAACAACTGCTGTAATTTCTTTTCTTGTTTATTTTGTTGTTCAAGCTGCCACTGTTGCATGTTTTCTTGCAACTGCTGTTGTCTCTCTTCTTGTTTCTTTTCTTTTCCTTAAACAGCTGCTGTAATCTCTCTTGTTTATTTTGTTGTTCGAGCTGCCACTGTTGCAGGTTTTCTTGCAACTGCTGTTGTCTCTCTTCTTGTTTATTTTCTCGTTCTTCTTGTTTCTTTTGCTGCCATCAAGTCTGCTAAGCTGTAGTTTGATTTTCCGCCTCTCGTTTCCATTTTTTTTGTCCCACTCTCTGACACCAATTTTTTAAGTCTCCGTTCGTTAGTTGATTTTCCGTAACTTCGTTCCGACGAAACTTTAGCGATACAAGTCCTTACTTAATAAAACTGGTTTATTCTTTCCGAA